CGGGGTCTCATCTGTCACATCCGAAAATGTTCTGGTGACGTTGTCGCCAAAAGAAAGGACGTCCGTTCAGGTGAGCGACTGGTGTCAAATAAGACAAATAATTGTTATATAACTTGTTGATTTGAGTATAGAGTAAGTAAAAAAGTATTAGAATACTTTTATAATACATTTGTATTTGTATATTAAAAAATATATTTTAAAAAAACTTTTCACATTCCTAGCCAGGAAATAGAGTGAAATACATTTTTAATACGTAAAATGTACTACTAATACTAATACTATTCCAAAACTATTTATTGCACTAATGTTGAGAAACGATATGATTCGCGTTAAGTTAAAGCGGAATTTTAATGGTCTAATAACTGCAGGGTTCGCTGTTTCAACTGTTTTCTAACTGAAAACCAGTTCGAAGGTTGCGATGATGTAACGCGGGAGCCATTAATGTCCTGTCGTATCGTTATCGTTATAACGCGGACAGGGCTGATAAAAACCAAACTAACTAGCCGTTGACGTCATCACTTTGACATTAATTTTGAATCATTCTCAGCCCCAGAACTGTCTGTTCTGTCAGTGACTGACTGACAACACAGACCTGTTGTTTACTCGTCTTTGTGTCACGGCTACTACTGAAACAAACGTCAACAGTAATTAGTTTCAGTTTCAGTAGTTTTTTTCAACCTCACCCAAAACCCTATTCGAAGTTTAAATGGCCACAACAACAGTGACGTCACAGAAGACCATAAACTTAACGTACTTAGTTTGTCCTCCGAGTTCAGTCCCCACACCGCTGTCCCGTTATCTCACCGGCGTTAAACGCGGTTTGTTGTCTTTTTAACGCCGCTCGTCGTCCACACAGGAAGTGCTTCACAGTGGGTGAGTTCGTTTTGTTCATCCGCATAACTCCTGACGGTGGTGTTTCTTTTTCCGTCCTCCGCTGCCCCTTCTACGCCCTCTCCGGGAGTTCCCGTGCATTAAAACGAACGCAACTTCCGGCAAACTTTAAGGTCCTCTGTAATTGGTCAGTTCACAGAGTCAGAGCGGATCTCGCCCGGTTAGCATAGCATTACCTTCAAAATAAGAACAACCATAACAGCATTAAACGACTGAACGTACATTAATATACACGTTAGAAAAGTGTTTTGTTTTTTTATCGAGAACCGAGCAGATTTCGCGCGCTTTTCTCTCGCTGTCCCTCGTTAAATAATAAATAATAATAATACATCG